GCAAAAGGATCCAGATGAGGCCATAGTCTACCTAGATGATTTAGCTGAAAAAAGCCCATACTTGGACTGGACCTCGTGCCACTAAGAGTACTAATAGGTTACGGCCCACTAAAAACCTGAATAGCACAGGCATTTATCATCTTAGGAAGGAAGACAACCTCAGAGCAAAAGTAGAAGCCCTCACTAGAGAACTTGAAGCCCTACATCCTAAGAATTCAAAAAGACTTGTTCCCCGTGTTGAGTCTTTCGAGCCTTGTTTTGTGTGTGGCAGCACTGATCATTTAGCATAGGAGTATGCCACTTATGTTGAGATGAGGGGATTTTATGAGGAATAATGTAATGCTTTAGGCGTATATCAAAAGCCCTACACCCTTTACTTCGAGACTTACAACCTAGGGTGGCGGAATCATCCCAACATTAGCTGGAAGTCTGAGAACCAATAGTCTGCCCAATCCAATAGAGCTTACAATGCGCTCCCACATAAACCAAAGATTTTTAACATGCATTTATTGAGGCACAGGGTAAAACAAATAAAAATTTTGAGACTATGATTGGCAGTTAGTTAAGGAAAACAAAGAGATAAAGAATCATGTGTCCAAACTAACAAATGCCTTAACTGTAGAGGAACATGGAAAATTTTCAACTCAAGCTCAATCAATCCAAAGGGACAACACATGGTACAAACTTTGGGATCGGGAGAGACCAACTTTAAGGAAGTAAATGTCATAACCACTAGATTAGGGAAGTAATTGAACCAGCCCTTCAATCTAGGAAGAATGAAAAATAATCAAGTGAGCCTAATGAGAGTAGTCCCAATGAAGACGTAGTAAAAGCTCCAGTTAGGGTACCTTTTCCTCAAGCCCTCAAATCCATCTTAAAGCTGACAACTTAACACAATGAAATCCTAGAGCATCTTAAACAAGTAAAAATCAATTTACCTCTCTTGCACGTGATCTTTCAAGTTCCTACATATGCTAAAGTCCTTAAAAACTTATGCACTATGAAGAGGAAACATCATGTCAAGAAGACTACTTTCCTGACTGAGCAAGCAAGTGATGTGATAGAGCAGAGGATCCCACCAAAGTATAAAAACCCTAGTTGTCCTACCATTTCTTGTGTCATCGGGAACTATTAGTTCGCACAAGCCCTTCTTGATTTAGGAGTTAGCGTTAACCTCATGCCTTATGCTATATACTTGTTGTTAGGTCTAGGAGAGATGAAGCCTACCTCAGTGGTCCTTCAGTTAGCTAACAGGTCCACCATAAGACCTAGGAGAGTAGTTGAGGATGTACTAGCTCAAGTTGATAAATTTCACTACCCAATTGATTTCTTGGTACTAGATGTGAACGTTGAGGTGATGTTGACTCTAAAATCCCGATTATACTCAGTAGACCTTTCCTTGTTACAACTAATTCTCTAATCAATTGTAGGAATTGTCTGATGAATCCATCTTTTTGGGAATATGACTCTAAAAGTCAATATTTTCCATGTCACCAAGCAATTTAGAGAAGCAGATGAATGTTATCAAACATACATGATTGATGCATTCACACAGGGGGAAGTATCTGCAAAAATTGATTATGATCCTTTGAACTCCTTCGTCCTGAACTCTGAAATTTTAATTGGTTCTGACATTGATGAATATGCTAACATTTGTGTTGTTTTCTTGCAAAATTGCAGGACCATAGGACTTCGTCATGACAACCCAAGTTTGAAGAATTGTCCGAAAGGACTGGAGGACAAAAACCATCAAGCATTGAGAGCCTTAAGCCGGAATTGAAGTAGCTATACCAAGGACTGAAAAATGTATTCATTGGACCAAGTGTTCGTGTGAAACCCGCAAGCGTACGGATCGTTGACAAGTAATAGATTTAGTGAGTTAGAGTATCGTCCCACGAGAAACAAAATTTAACTGAGTGTACTAGTTCTTAATTAGATTCAAAGCGAACAAGTTAAAAGTGATTTTTATGATTTTTAATTATTCTAATTTAATCTACAAAAACCTGTAAAATGTGAATTTAAAATGTATATGGGAAGAGTGTATTGGATTATGAATCCACCTATTATTATCTATTCCAATTCTTAACTACGTAGCTAGTTTCGTTCTTGCATTCTTGACAATCGATTATTCTATTGTAATTAATTTTTTTCCGAGACAAATTAAATCTATTCTATTCACGATCCCATTATATTCCTAATCCGATTTCATATGAATAAAACATATTCAATTTCATAATTATCTTAAAGATTGTACACGTGATAAATCTTATTCCTAAAATTTATGGTACGTATGTTAATCATGCAGTGTTATAAACTTATTGTGAACCTCACGGCACTACAATAAGCAACTATATATTTAATTGGTGATCAAACAATCAAATAATAAATTAAGCATGGAAGATTAATCAACAATTGCAAAAATTTAACTAAACCACATGTCTTGAATCAGAAATAAATAATAATGGGTTTCATCTTCATCCAATAAATGAGAAAAATTAGCCTAACATAAGATTGAATTTAAACACAAAATTGGAAAGACATCACTGGAAATTTAACGAGCGCGATTAATTCTCCAATTAAAGTTGCTGTTTTCTGTCCTTTTTCTTCCAATTTGCTGCCAGCTTTTGCGTGTAACTCCTCCATGTGCGTGCATGTTTGTATATAAATTAATTCCAGTTGGCAGCCCAAACGTTCTCTGCTTCAATTACAGCTTGTGTTTGTTGTATATATAAATAAAATTAGCAGCCAAATTCTCCTCTAAAGCAACTCTAATCCTCTTCCAAAGTTAGCCGTCAATATGTGCTTATATATTTCAGCAGCAGGCCCCTTTTTTTCTCTCCTTCCTGCCTTGGTTTTCTACGTGAATGTATATAATTTTGCCCCCACAGTTGCCCCAAATTCTGTGCCTGTGTATATTATATATAATCACAGCACCCAAGGCAAACCTAATGTTTCTCCAAGTTGACTTTTTTGTCTATATCTCCAAATTCTCTTTCTGCCCTTTTTTTGTAGGTTTTCTTTTTCTCCCCCTTCCGTTTCTGCCGGCCTACATGTATATATATATATAATTAAAGTGGGCTATTTTTTTATTTCACCAAAGCAACACTTGTTGTTTTGTATGAGATGAATTACAAAGTTGTCATAATGGTTGACTTCAAATCCACTTCCCTTCCTGTTGGCAATCATTTCTTGTGTATATATATCTTTTTCAGCCCAGTTGTAATCCACTTTGGAGTCCAATTCACAAAATAATAGGTCCAGCCTTTTGTCTCTTTATTCCAACAATTTGATTGCATTTTTATCCAATTTTCGTACTTCTTTCTCTTCAATTGCTTCCAATGAGTCATTCACTAAAAACAAAAGAAAATTAACTTAAATTAAATAAAAATTAATAATTTAACGACTTAAAAGTTTAATAATGTGGTATAAATAAATATACAAATTGCGTTTATCAAATACCCCTGAACTTAAACATTTGTTCGTGCTCGAACAAAACTATAACTTAAATAACAACAAACACACAAGCATGCAAAAATATTTGATTGGGCAGTTTAGCTTTTTACCTTTGGATTTGACATCACCGTATTAAATTCATAAGCCACTTCAAAATCACTATAACAAATTAATATCTACTTTTTCAATACAAAACTAACGTGTGTGTGTGAAGAACTAAGTTGACATTAATGAATTCACAAGATGTTTCAATTCTCAACCCTGTATGGTCAAATATATCCTTTCATCTCTCGTAAGATTTACACACACCCAAACTTATTCTTTTTCACTCTTTTCTTAGCGTGTGATCTAAGTTTGAATTTTTTATTACTATTCTCACCCTCTCCAATTCAGGTGGACGGTACTAGTTTTAAGTCAACACATCAATGAATAATGATTCTCCAATTAATTGATTGCTTCGATCGTCAAAACTCAATTAAGCTAATTATCCTTCATCAAAAGTCAAATTCACTCGAACAAGTGTTGGGACTTAACAAGGCAATATGTGCTTTTGCTTCTTCTTTTTTTAATGCACTTGTTTTTTTTTTTTTTAATTTTTAAAATTTTTTTGTCTCCTCCTTAAGCTTTCTAAATGGTCCATGTAACAGGCTTTAGGCCGATATCTCCCAAGTTAGATGACTTTAGAGCACCAGGTTTTAAAATACCCTTACAGACTTAATATCCCAAGTAAAAAAGGCTTCGAAAAGAACAATTTTTTTTTTGGGTGCAACTTCATCCCCGATTACTTTCTAAATGACCCTTGTAACGAGTTTTAGGCCGATGACTCCCAAGTCAAATGACTTTAGGGCACCAGATTTTAAGATACCCTTGCATGTTTGATTACTCGAGTCATAAATGCTTCAAAAAGAAGTTTTAAATTTTAAAATATATGCATTGACTAGTGCAACATCCCTTATCACACATCTATTCAAGCAAACCGACCTCCAATTTACGACATTTACCCAATTTTATCATGTTAATTTAAGACAATCCACACAAACTTTTTCATACAAGAAATCCACATTCACATTCGTATCTTCCTACAATAGTAAGATCTCCCCAAATTGTACTAAATTTGGTCTAAGGATAATAATAAGTATGATTTAGGTAAAGCATCTATGTCCAACTAAACAATCTATCACGTGTATGAATCAACTCATTTCATAACAATGTCAGCTCAGTTGTTGTGCGCATATAATATCAACTTTTGCAAATTTAAGTTTCAATCAATTTAGCATGCTTCCTATCCACAGTTCATAAATCAATATCAAATCTCAAATTTAGTCATCATTGTCAGTCAAATTGTCTAACCCACACAAGCACACAATCAAAAATAAAATAAAATAAATTAACGATTTTTTTTTTTTAAATGAAAACCAAGAATTCAAAGTTTTTCCCACCCCCCAAATTTAAACCCGACATTGTCCTCAATGTCTTAAAGCATAATTAAGAATGTAAGGGGACAAGAAAAAAAAGGACGAAAGTATTCCCCGAATTTTCCTGTTGAATATGGAAAGGACTATGGGTGGTGGCCAAACAATTTTCCTCATCATGTTTTTCCTTGATTTATGTTGGTTTGAGTGTTCCAAGACATCACGTTCCTACATATGGCAATCAAATCAAGCATTATAGATCAAATAATCTAGAACATGTGTTACTTAGCCCAAACACTCGAAGTAACCAACATTAAATTTAAAGGTCTCAGTGAAAACATGATCGAATGATGATACCCTTTAAATTTAGACATGCCTAAATCTAATGCAAACTAATAATTAAAACAAGTCTATATGCAATACGATGCAGAAAACAAAATAAATAAATAATAATGAAATTGGGTTGCCTCCCAATAAGCGCTTAATTTATAGTTTTTAGCTAGACTTTATTTTTTTGACTATTCATGGTGGCTTGAAAAGAGAATTTTCAGCTCTGCATTTTATGCACTGATTGCATTTCCTTTTTTCATCTTTCACCCTCTACACAATTAAGATTCCATTGTTATCTCTACCAACAATTCCACATTCATTTGGCCTGCCTTTGTAGCTCTCCCAATAATCAACTCGTTGACAATCCTCAAAATATGATGGTTGCTTGATTGGATTTTCCATGATGAAGCTCTATTGCTTATCCTCCATCCTTAAGATAATCTCGTTAGCATTAAAATCTAGCAAGGCTCGGCTTGTTGACAAGAATGGCATTCCCAGAATTATTGGCATCTGATATGCCTCTTCAATGTCAAGGATGATGAAGTCAACTGGAAAAATAAACTCCCCTGCCTTGATAAGCATGTCTTCAACTATTCTGTAAGGGTGTTTTTGTGATCGGTCCGCCAGCTAAAGGATAATAGATGCCGCCTTAAGATCTCTTAATCCCAGTTTTCTGTAAAGAGGTAAGGGAATTAAATTAATATTCTCTCCTGAATCAATTAAACAATTTATATCATTTAAATTTCCTATGGAACAAGGTACAATGAAACTCCATGGATCTTTAAGTTTGGGAGAGATCCTATGCTGGATGATTGCACTGCACTCTTTAGAGAGTGCTATTGTTTCATGTTCTGGCGACTTTCTCTTCTTAGTCAACATCTCCTTAAAAAAATTAGCATAATTTGGAATTTGTAGAATACCATCAATAAAAGGAATGTTGATGTGAAGTTGTTCGAGGGTGTTCAAGAAATTTTTGAATTGTTTGTCTAGTTTATTATTCTACAACCATTGAGGGAATGGAACTAAAGGTGTGTGTTTATTGCTAAAAATAGTTGTCTTGACATGTGGATTATTTGACTGTTCTTCTTGATTAACTTTTGATGATTTTTCAGACTGACCCACTTGTTCTTCCCTCGAGGTAGGTACTTGATTCTCCTCAGTCTTCTTCTTCTTCTTCACTGTGATTTCTGGTAGCTGAACATCGCTTCTTATTGTGATAGCGAGGACTTGTTCCTTTTTAGGTTGTCTTTGAAGCCTTTGAGGGAATGGGATAGATGGCACATAAGCTCGAACAGATATAGCAGGCTTAATCGACGGTGTTATGATAGTTGCATAATTCACATCTTCAATTGTTAATACCTACTCCTTTGGGTTCTTTTCTGTATCGCTCGGTAGAGTACTTTGTGCTCTGTTACCTAATGTAGCTACTATCTGTCCCACCTATTTCTCTAAGTTATGTATAGAAGCTTTTTGATTCTATATCACCATCTCAGTCTTGGTGACGTACTTGACAAGTAGATCCTCCAATGATTGCTTTTTTTCTTCTTGTTGCTGAATCATTAGTGGATTACCCCTCATCTGATTT